AGTTCCTGGACTAAATGTATTTTGTATGGATGGAATTTATTCTTCTTCAAAATAGTTTGTATGCTAGTTCGATTGATCCCAGACACAGACGCCAGCTGCCTCGTACTTAATGTAGGATCAAGATGAACTTGTCCCAAAACTGCAACTTCACTAGCTTCGTTAACTATAGGTTCTTCAATTTCTCGTTTTTTATTGGCTACGTTCCCTGTCTCTTGAGATTTTTTTACAATCTCTAGAACATACTTCCTCCTGACATGTCGATCTTGATGTTGTTCATTAAATAGCTGAGCTGTTCTATTCGCACATTTATTGTTCATAAAGTAAAGCGAAATGAGATCTACCCTTTCCGCAATGGAATAAACCAGTGTTTAATTTTCAAAAACATAATTAAATAAACTATCAACCAACGCTTCCAAATAAAACTAGAAAATAATTTGAAATCCACAAATTTTACGTTCATTGTGTGTGTATAGCATTCATTTCTGTTTTTTTACAATTGTGTTTTTTACGAAAGTGATAATAAATCACCAAAAACCAATGTAACGCAAGAAATACTAAATTTATACCATTGGCGTACTTAACTCGAATGGCTGACTTTTTACCGTTACTCATTGTTTGTACATAAGTTTCAACTTTAAAATCAAAATTCTTAATAAGTATTGGGTGGAATTATAAAATTTAAAGTCTATTGTAAAGAGAATTGTAAGAGCTTTCAAAAGAAATATTACTGAACACCCAATGCCATTTAAATCTTTTGGGGTGATGCTTACCCTTGCTTGGGGGTGAAAGTAGCGGAGTCAAAAATCTAAAATCGACGGGTCTGAGCGTTTTTCTACAATCTTGACGCAGTTCCTGAAAATGGCTCTGTTTCGTTTTCATTTGGCCACCCTGTATACATTTTTTTATGACCGAATCAAAATGAAAACTAATAGGTTTCAACACTGTTTCATTTGTTAAAAATCAATTCTTATTATTTATTTTCAAATGATTAAAATTAGTTAATACATATTTTGATAATTTGCATACCTCCTTTATCGTTTAAATTATCATATACTTTGTAAATTAACGTACTTACACATCATTAATAAGAAGATAGTATTTTGCTAAAAGAACTTATATAAATTTTCATAAAAATGCGCCTATATTTTTTTCGGATAATGTGAAAATAAGGCGCACTTTTTAATACACTTAAATTTTTTTGAACGTCNTGTATTTGTGCGTAGAGCGGAACACGGCTTGACAACAGATTTGACCTATGCCTGCTATTACAACGCGTATTGCCCCTTACTGGCATAATGTAGATTAATGCTGTTTATTTATTTGATTGTCGCCACAAAGCTTCCGATGTCTAGTCGTAATATAAGTGAATATAGGTTACTCTTTGATATATGTAGTGAAAAATACTGTCGATACTCTTGTAACATTTAGTTGTTCTTTCTTAAAAACGCCAAAATGTACTATACACATACTTCTTTAATCTGTGCAGCAATCACAGTTTATAACAATTGTCACATAACTACAACGCAAAATTTAATTTCGGCATACCTGGACGATTTGCTGAAAAAATGGAAATTGTTCTAAATTTTAATTTGCAGAGTGCCCCTGAAAAATTTTGCCAGTTGTACAAAATTTCGTCGAATTACAAACGGGCAAAAGGCTATGTTAAGAGTGAAGTTGATTGGAAGAAAAGCAATGTTGTCATTGACCAGACCTGTAAAAAAATTGTTATCTTATTAAAAAATACAAATTGCATTTTCAATGTATTCACCGGCTAAAATTTAAAGTGTTAATAAAGTAATATTTCAGTTATTGGTATATCGTTAGTTATAGCTTCGTATTAGTTCAACTGTACTTGCTCAATAAACAATCTTTATCGACCCAACATAAACGTGAACCTTGACTTTGGTTCAATAAAAGTGTCACTCGCCATTTTTAATTTAATAACCGTTGCATATTCGCGCGAACAAGTACCTTATTTTTGCACTACCTCCAGAAAAGTAAGCCTTCCAAGGTCTAATTTTTATCTACACGCTGCACATTATATTGTTTACTCGTCTCCACTTCTATTTTAGTAATATGGTGTCTTCTGATAATGCAGGTATTAGTTTTATAGAGATAAGTGCGAGGAACAGTTGTTTAGTTTTATAGTGACGTTACAAAGTCATTTTGGATGTTTGAAGAACGATGAGGAACTAGCCAGTGTTTTCTTTTTGTTAAAGGTTACGATAATCAGGATTGGTTCATCCCATCTCCCGCCCTGGAAATAGACGAGGCCGATTTGAAGTTGTCACCGGATCAGATCCGAGAGACATTGAACTATTTCCGTAAGTATTTTTGTTAGAATATTTGATTTAACTGCGACTTTAATGTTTTTAAAGGTTACATAACGCGTGCGTTTAGGCAGTGGATAATTATTAAAATGAAAGTTGAAATCTTAAAATCGGTAACAGTGGCCGAAATTTCTGTCTGTATTTCGAAAGACAAATCAAACAGTTTTATTGATTATATTTTTTTTATAACAGACAGCAAACATGTACTTTATAACCTTGTAATACCGGTCAAAATAAAGTTCTCTCTTAAAAAACAACTGATACTAAAATAGAAATGTTCATTTTAATCCTTTTAAAAATATTAGATATTATTAAAACACAATTGGTAAATAATTTGGTAGGATTTTTTTATTAATTATCATTATATTTTGTCGACGATTATTGGTTAGATATTTACTATCCATTGTAATGGGTTTTACATATATTTTTTTATGACTGAATCAAATTGAAAACTGATAGGTTTCAACACCATTTCATTTGTTAATATTCAATTCTTATTATTTATTTTCAAATTTGCATACCTTCTGTATCGTTTAAATTATCGTATACTTTGTATACGATAACGTACTTACACGTATTATTAACAAGAGGATTTTGCTAAAAGAATTTTTATAAATTTTCACAAAAATGACCCTATATATTTTTTTCGGATAATGTGAAAATAAGGCGCACTATTAATACACTTGAAGTTTTTGAAAGGGCTTCCTTTCCTTCTCGTTATCATTTTTGTTTGTTCATAGTGACGTTTTTATTATAAATATTTGTACGTGTATATCTGCATGATGAGTTGCTGCACGTAGGTTTTTTGTGCTCTTAAAATTTTTGCAATATTTTATCACCCTTATGGAAGTCAGATATAGATAATTTATTAAATTAACAATAAGATATAATTTTTTAATTTAAGTTTACTTTTTAAAGATTGTTTAGTATTATTTTTGCATCTCTTGATAGGTACGGAGTAATTAAAAATTAAGCGGTATCCTTTGACAAGCGTACTCTCTTCGTACAAATAATAAATGTTCATATTTACAAGGGTCTGCAAATTTTTCGTTGCGAAGATGCAAGGTATTTAATTTTTCCAAGAAATGATGAATATCGTTAACGTCATCCAAAGTAATNTATATTTTTTTCGGATAATGTGAAAATAAGGCGCACTATTAATACACTTGAAGTTTTTGAAAGGGCTTCCTTTCCTTCTCGTTATCATTTTTGTTTGTTCATAGTGACGTTTTTATTATAAATATTTGTACGTGTATATCTGCATGATGAGTTGCTGCACGTAGGTTTTTTGTGCTCTTAAAATTTTTGCAATATTTTATCACCCTTATGGAAGTCAGATATAGATAATTTATTAAATTAACAATAAGATATAATTTTTTAATTTAAGTTTACTTTTTAAAGATTGTTTAGTATTATTTTTGCATCTCTTGATAGGTACGGAGTAATTAAAAATTAAGCGGTATCCTTTGACAAGCGTACTCTCTTCGTACAAATAATAAATGTTCATATTTACAAGGGTCTGCAAATTTTTCGTTGCGAAGATACAAGGTATTTAATTTTTCCAGGAAATGATGAATATCGTTAACATCATCCAAAGTAATGTAGATATTTAAATCAAACTTGTCACACAGTATGACTATATGAATTTATGTGAAGCTCTTCAAGCAACCAGTGCTCCAAGTTATCAATCAATACTTTGTTATCTACAAAATTGCATGTCGAGACATTTTCATGTCCATTATCATTTCATGGAAAATTTGATTTTTCTAAGGTGAGTGAATGAGTGAACATTTTGCATCTTTAGGCCAAAATTACATGTATTTTTGCTAGTTTCGACGTTCCATAAATGTATAATTTTAAGTTTTTGTATATATTCTACATTTAGAAAAGATTTACACATGCCCATATTAGTATGAACTTTTTACTTTATTTTTATGAAGGAAAAACGACTCTAAAATTATGTCTCTTAATTTTGATTCACCCTGTAAAATAAATCCTAGAACGAACAAAAAAGTTGTTACTAAATAGATATATCCGAAAAATGAATGATCTAGATGAATAGTTTGAAAATATAAATGATTGAAAATATTAATTTTTTGTTAGAAACTATTATTCTAGTTATATGTATAGGTAAATAGAATTATGTATTATTCCCTCAATTATCACTGTGAAGATAAAAATTTATAATTTGTAATTTTTTTGCTATACCAGTTGATGATGGATTCGGGAATTATGTAAAACTTTACAGTAGCATTTTTGTTATTGTTTCGATCTCAGTGAATTTGGATATGACACAAAAGTGTACTTTCGGACAAAAAACAAACATTTTCTACACTTCTAATCAAGGCATATGACATTTTTAAAGGCCAAAGAAAAAGTTTCAATAAATAATATCTCTATTTTTTAAAAACGTTTCTTTTAAATTTCTTAAAATAATATTAAATTAGGGAATGATTTCTTTTTTATTGCAAGCTTGGGATTAATAAATGTCTATTGCATTCACAATGGCAATTCTACCATGTTTATTATGTTGATCGGTGGCAGGTTCAATATAGGCCAATAGTAGTAGCTTGTAAACGTAATCCTCAATACAAATACACTAGATTTAATTGCAACCGTTCATTACTCCCAGGGGATAATCTAAGGAATTTTAAGAACTACCTAAAATCAGTCACCCTATGCTAGCTCAAAGATAGCGCCCGGAAAATTCGGTTTGTGCAAATAACTTGTTGTTCCCAACATAAAGCCCAATATCCCCCCTCCCAAAAAAAGATGCAGTACTTTTTAAATGCCGGACAATAAACTCTAATTCTTTGTTATATCCTTTTCAGTTTCCAGTTTATTAATTTTCAATGTTCATGTACTATACCCAAAGTACATAGTCATTGTATTATTTCAATAAATTTGTTATTTATTTTATTTATTAACCTTTTGGAGGTTAAAAATTATTCATGAAATTTCAATTTCATAGTACTTCAAGCAATCAGATTTTACAACTGTCCTTTTTAACTTTTAGAACTAACTTTTTTTTTTAAGAACTGCCTTTTCGGTTGGAACTAACCCTTTGATTATGCGCTGCGTTAGCCTCAATTATACAAGTGTATGCACTAAAGCAAGTTTTGAGAAAAACATGAATTAAAAAATCGTCGTAAGTTACGCTTTGGAAAATCAACATGTTGCCTTTCTAAAAATATTTTTTCTCATGTTTTAAGCATTTCAAAAAACACATGCAGCTATGTTATCATTCTAAACAAAAACATAAAATTTTGTATACTGTTCCTGGGCTTCGTCCTTATTTTAATTCAAATAAACATTTTGTTTAATAAAAACTAACTTTTCGTTTAACTTTTTATAAAATATGTATTTTTGTATCTGAAAAGAATTATTTCACTAAAGAACTTTCCAAAAAAAAAGAATACAACTTCTGCATTTAATGTAATATACAAGGTGATTCACAAATTGTGACCAAAAATGGAACCTCGTATTCTTTGGTGAATTTTAAGAGGAAGTTTTCCTATACAGTTTTTATCTAGGACGCTTCGTTAAAAAGATACAGATTTTTAAAATTTTTTTAAATAATTTAAAAACCACCAAGTGAAATAATTTGAAATTGGGCACATGTATTTACGTAAATACTGTCCAAAATCTGAGGGCTTTTTGTAAAATTTACATGTTCCAGTGGCGGAGATATAGCCATGTATTTTTTGGCTGTGTCTTTGCTGGAGTACCCAAGAACTCCTCAGCAAATTGACAGCGCCATATTGTTATCACTTCTTCCTATAACGGCTACACTTCACAGTGAGCAGTATGCTTGTCCCGTACTGGATGAGATGACAGTTAAATTGTAAACATTTAATTTACTTTTGTAATAAAATTAACTCATTTCAGCACGTGGACAGCTCATAATACTTTGTAAATCGAATACTGAAAATGTATCCACATTTTCTTCAAACTATGAAACTCTAAATATTGTATTTAACGTTCAGATAATTATGTATTTTTGGTTCCTGGTAGCTCAGGATGTAAGACGCTTCTCCGTGGAAGTAAAGTCTAATAAAACTTAGTAACAGTAACTCTGAAAAGTTGAGATCACAAAATATGCAACTTACAACAGTATAATTTTAAGGAAGATAATGAAATTATGACACGGATGGTGTTACAATATGTAGTGCCAGTACTGTCACTCAAAATTTATATAAAGAAATACGTTGTAGCAACATCGAGGTGACATATTTAGAAGTTGGACATAACCTTATTTGCAATAAAGTTGCTACTAGTAAATAAACGTTTATTTCGTCTAGATGTCTTATGAGATTATACAATAAATATCTTAATACAGATAATGTTCGGATATCTGCCACGTTTGGAAAAAATCTAGGCTAAATGACTGATCAGTCACGGACTGTTAAAAATACTAATAGCTTTGTCTGTCGTGCATATTTAAATTGTACTTATTTATTTATTGTATATTGTATTTATATTTCATAGAATCTTTCGAATCTCGATCTGACTTATGTCTGCTCCCGATTGCAGACGCTTTTTGCGCGACTATCGATCCGTGTCGTTGCGCCCCGTCTGACCAAACGAACAACTCTGCTCATCTGGTGTGCTTTTTACCGGTCCGAACAAAACAAAACTTCGAAGGAAAGGAAGGTTAACCTGCCAAGGGAAAGTTTTTTAATGCAACATTTTTTGTAATTGTCGGTTCAGTGACCGGATCTAATTCTCAGCACGTTTAGAAGGCGTTCTGTGGTTTATTAAATGTGTTGTACGCCCCAAATATCATTCCGATCTAGATTTGGTAGAGTGACGAATCGAAAAAATACCGGTCCGGCTTTGCTCTAATCAAATACTGTAATGTAAGAATCATTGCCTTAAATTGCCGTAGTTAGAAAAAGGTGAGATGCTCATTTTTATTAAATTGGTGCAATGGTCATTGAAAGCACGAGATTTGCAATTGCTTACAATACGTAGAGTGATCACAACATGCGGAAACATTTCACATTTTTTTTTCTTATGTTTGCTATAAAAATTATGTCTGTTGTGGAACAGTTTGTTTGTTTTTTTTTTGAAAATCTACTACAACCTTTCGCACCACATATAAGCATTCATAGCTAGGAGCAGAATGACTTTTTTGATCAGCAAAATTTGAGACCAATTTTGGTTTTTTGTCTTTAGCATAACCAAAAAAGCATGAAATGATTGATACTGCTTTCGGTCATTTACATAAATTCATTTATTATGTCTCTTTATCTTTAGTTGCACCTTGTATCTCCGCTCAAGTACATAAAAAAATCAACACGACACTTCAGAAATTATTGTTTTTTTTTCTATTTGGCATCAATGACATCTTTTTATTACCGCATCCTATCGTTGTTTCATGATTGGCGGCGTAAAATGTAAATAAAATTTGTTGAAATGTGTCATTGATGATATCCTAGGTATCCTATTATTGTAATGGTATTCACGGAAAAAATAGAATGGTGTCGTACACCTGTTAGGGGTCGTTAAATCGGGTTAAAAGAGTCAGTGTTAAAAGATAATATTTTTCAATAATTATTTACAGATAAACAGCTTTTCGTACCTATTTTGAATGTGGATAACAGATGGATTTTTTCTGAAACGGTGACACTTATTCTGTGGGTTTATTTTTTACGCAGAATCTAGTGATATAATTTTTTAGTAACATTAACGGTTTTCGATTTACATTTTTTTAAATGGAAACCATAGTTGGTAAAAACCGCGTTAAAGATAGTGTGAAGTCAAAATTTCGGAAAGAAACTGCAGTCATCCAGAATATCAAAATTTTTTGGCTTCCAAGATTATGAAACATTACGAAATCTGTATTGATCCGAAGGTTTGCCTCAATGTCCGCGAAAATCGCAGCTATTCTATATGTAGTGCGTTGTGCAGTTAGGTTAGGTTATGTAGTATGTTGTGCATGTGCAGTTAGACAAAGCAACGAACAATTTTGTCGACTTAACAAAAATAAGTACCTACAAATTTTAAGGTTGCTAAGGTTGCTGTCAGAATCAGGCTAATATCTTTTTAAACACGATAACATTTCTCTTTAGCAACTGCGCATTTTTACTAAAAACGACAAGGAGTTGTTAATTACATTGCGGTCGATTTGTGGATGCATTTATTTATCTTCAAATTGGCGATTTTACCTTGAAGGATTATTGCTTGCTTCTCGTGTCAATATTTTTCTGGTATATTGTGGTCGCATAATTTACCGAAACTTATTTGCTAATTGACTTCTTATGTCTGTTAAACAAATTGTATAATGAAGTTAAGCGTTCTTAAACATTATGACCCGATGAGAATCAAAATTGATGTTTTATTTATAAACTGCAGTGATTCATGTCCGAGTGCATTCATTCTTTGAAAAAACATCTTACATCATAGTGAGTACATTTTTTTTTCCAGAATTTAGTCATTGCAATAAACTGTAAACTTTTTATGGCTTGTTGTTTTGTTTTACCTAGAATGTTTGTTAAATTTATTGTATTGAAAATAGTTCTAAAAAATAACTATTTTATCATAAAAACAAAACACGGTGCAATTTTTTCTTTTTCTCCTCAAAGACGTAACACCTCTTTCAATTGAAAAAAACCAAAATGATCTACTGAAATAATGAAATATAGAAATTAATGAAATAATGGACCTGTTAAGCAAAATTTTCTTATTATTTCGTTTTTTTTTCACAAAAATATAATGGAAATTTTGTTGAAAGAGTAATCATTTCCCTCTTTTTCAATTTTTTTTGTTTTAACGAATTGCACTTGGGTATTTATAAATATAAATTGGTAAGCGTAAATCAAAAACACAAGTATATTTCTATGTAGCACACATCTAAACTTGGTTATCTTATCATTAATTTATCAGCTTAAAGTATGTTATCGAATAAGTTAAATGACAGGGCTTATATTGCGAATAAATAGGAAACAGACATAGTCAAAGTGACCACATTCTGCCAGCTCTCTTACTGTTGCTGTCTGTTCCAGTTCTATGTAGCAATCGCGTGAGCCAAATGACCAAGACCTACGATGACATAGAAGCAGTCACTAGGCTTCTGGAAGAGGTAAGTAAAAATACTTTTTGACCAGTTTTTATACTTTTTATATGTTTTATATATTTTGAAAAAATATATGAAAAGGAATATAACGGGTGCACCATTTGATTTCTCATATCAAAGTCTACCATTTTTTTCTGCAGTAATGTAAGTCGTATTCAAATAATTTCACTTTTACTGAGAAAATAATTTTTTAAAGACGTAATATGACAAAATTGAATAGCACATTGTTTTATTGTTCAGTATATTTAAATGAGTTGTTAAAGGAGATACAATTAAGACATAATCCAGATAAGTGCTAGGTATTGTTTATCATATTTGATCATAATTTAAGATTAAAATATTTTTATTAATGATAAACCTCTACCTAGTAAGTGACAAAAGTGATAAATATGTTTGATCTGTTTATCATCATGTCAATAAAAATTAAAAAAGATATTCTTGTAATAGATTTCTAAGAAAGAATTAGTCCAAAAACCAATTTTTTTAATATCTAAAGTCAAATTGTTTATACTTCATTACATTTTATCTACATTTTTAAAGAAAACATCAATTTTTTGTAGTTTTAACTACTGCTATCTTTTAACGCTTTTTGCTTCAAAGGAAAACTTTTTTCGCAGAAAGAAAAGGACTTGGAACTGACAGCAAGGATCGGTAAGGAATTGCTCGCTACCAACAATAAATTAGAAAACACTGTTGCCTCCTTAGAGACAGATCTTAAGGCTGCTCATGAAAAAATCACACAACTTAGCCATGAAATTCATAAGAAAACGGAACTTATACAGATACTTACCAATGATATGGACGAATCCTGTTTCGAAAATGGGTCTTCGGGAAGGATAAATTTGGAACTGATGAATAAAAGGATATGTAAGTTTTCAAAATTCTGATGTGTATACAATTAACAATAACAATTTTGATATATATACAAATTTGTTATCAGCGTATCAGAGTTGAAAAAAAAACATACTTAACCTTTGTCTAGTTTGTACAGATGTAAAATATTTGGAACATTTATTTCAGGTTGTTAGGATTTAAATATAGACCTTTAACGTAAACCTCATCTCTCTTGTCTAGTAGAAGTTAAAGCGCTATATTTTCAATCCTATTTTTAATATTTGTGTGGTATTTTCTTCAAAACTACTTGGTTGAGGAAATATAAAAAATAGTTTCTCTTTTAGCCTCTTTGGAAGAGGAAAATAAAGCACTGAAGACAGAATATTGCCGACTAGCATCATGTGCCGACGATATCGAAGCTCAAGAAGCTAGGCTCTTGAAAGATTTAACAGGGCAGCTGTGTAAGTGTATTTGATATGTTATATTTTTCATGTATGATATATTTTTATGTAATGTGGTATTAGTACAATAGTCCAATGCTCCTAACATATCAGCATGACGTAATTTATTGAAATGTTTACGTTTGACAAAGGTTAAATAAATAATATTCCAGCATGTGCGAATTCAAGTATGGGGTACCTAGAGGATGAAATTGAAAGAACGAAAGAAGAAAGTAGGATGCAGCACGAACAGATTTTAGCTCTGCAAGCCCAATTGAATAATACCGAAGATAAATTGCGCAAGGTACTTCATTATAATAATTACAATGTCCCACGTTAACGTACATACTCTGTTTACAGGTGGTAAGTGAGAACGAAGAGTTAAGCGGCCTTCTTCAAATAACTAAGGAAAACCAAGGCAGCTTAGCTGTGGAACTATCAGAATTTAAAGCGCGTTATTACGAGGTTGAGGCGTTGCTGCGGGATGCCCAGGAACAAATTCGTAAACTCAGGAAGCGGCAGATGCCGGGTGCCAGAATTTCCTTATTTTCTTCTCTTGGCCAAACCAACGCACCGTATGATAGTCTGCAAAGCGAACTGGAAATGTCCATGCATTCCGAGCTTAGTACGGACTCGGGAATATCAAATTCCGACATTGTGTAAGTGACTTCGCACTTTTTTTTAATAAAATTCGTAATGTAATAATTATTAATTTTTCAGGCCACAGTACAAGAAAGTGTTCGAAACGGTGAGGTGCGCGTCACAGAGTTCCCTTAGTAGCGGAGACAGTTTCGGTAGCTTCCATTCCAGTATAGGCGGTTATGTGAGCAGTTCGAGCATGGCAGGTGCTGGTCCACGAATGAGCATAAAATCACAATGCGGCACCGACCTAAGACGGTTGTCCGGGTCAATATACAGCAGTAGTTCTCTGGGATATCCTAGCCTCGATTCTACCGGCCATTCTGATACCGAATCTAGTCAGACTGACTCAGAGGATGGATATCCGTAAGTGCAAGGTTTTTTTAATTTTATATACTTCTCAATTATGATTACTTTTGTTTTTTTTTTACATAGCTTCAATATATTCGTTTCTTATCCGACTTAATCTTAAAAATAGCTCCTTCTCTCATAGTGGTGGCCCGCAGAAGGGTGTACCTGGAGTTCCCGGTGCTACGGAATTGGAGGCAGCACTCAAAAGGCTGACGCCAGCAGAGGTCCTTGCAAGACGTGCCAATTTACAACATGGACCAGCGTATGGCGGGTAGGTGTACCAATTTATTCAGTAACTAAACACAGTGCTTTCAATAATAAACTCAAACATTTTTTTTGTTTAGGACTTTGCTTTGACATCTTTTTTTTATTGTACACATTTTTTTCAGGTACGAAGGTGACACTTACCTTCCATTCGGTTGTCGAACTCCAGACAGTTTGATGTCTACCGGCTCCAGTAACTACCAGGGTTGGAAGTTACCTGAGAAGCTGCAGATAGTAAAGCCCATGGAAGGATCTCAGACTTTGCACCAGTGGTCGCAGCTCGCCCAGCCCACTTTTGGTGGTATTTTAGAGGAAAGGCCGGGCGTTAAAATTAGGTACGTTGCTTTATTATAACGTTTATTCCATGAGTAATAATTTTGATTTTGTAGAGTTGGCAAAGAATTGGAAGAACTGGGCTTGGAATCGTACGCGTTAAGCGACTTAGAGGAAGACGAGGAATTTTCAAACCCCGGAAAGATGTTTGAGACTTCCGTACATACGTACACGTATACGAACAGCACTATAATGCATCCGGATGACGGGACCTTCGTGACGCCCAGTAATCGGGCAAGCAGGGTGGCCTCGGTGTGTTCTAGTATACAAAATTCGCCACCGCAGACGCCAAGGGGACTCAGCAGGCGGAACTCGTGTACTACGTTCTCGACCACTTTGGGACTCGCCAAAATGCTTAACGAAAGAGGTAAATTTACACTTGCTATTTTATTTTATCAATTTATATGTTTCTTCTATTTTTAAGGCATCAAGGCAGTTACGCCCTCTTGCGTAAACACGCCCAGTGGGGTAAACAGTTTTACCCCTACCGCCACCCCCCACAACAGCCCGGACAGTACTCCATCGTCGACGAGGTGCGGGTCTCCCGAGCCCTACGAAAGCTTGAGCTTGCCTCAGCTCATCCTCAGCTCCGTTCCGCAATTCCTCATGGGCACCGTCGGTGGCGGGGCCAAGAAGAAGACCAAACGGGGCAAGCCTGGAAAGCAAGAGGTAATTGATGTTAATTTGATGAACTTGCGCATTTTTATATTCGACATGCTTTTTGATTGTGACTAGTGGTGTGGCGGTGTCGTGGTGTTCGTTACAAGCTCTCTATTTTTCGTAAAAAAAACTTTATTTAGTGGAGGACTCGTAGAATATAAATCTACATGATTGATCTAGAAATTGAAAAATCATAAAAATTTATAATCTTAACTGTCCAACGAAAGTCTGTCAAAAATGAGCGAGAGTTGAATGACCTTTGAGTGTTTAATTCGGCTTTAAATAGAGACGTGTGTTGTTTTTTTAGACAGTGTTACAAATTACCAGTATATGATGGATGGAGATTTTTTGTTTCCATGAAGTTCCAACAGCTTTAATTTGTTAGATCACATTATACAGGGTGTAATTTTCCATGGCCATCATATTTTTATGGAGATTACCTTTTTTGACATTTGTTTTCTCAATATCTGTTGAGAAATTATTTTTACTTATTTTTTACCATAATTCTCAAACCCCGACGCTGGACAGAGTAGTGTAACGTCAAACTACCACCTGCGCTAGTTGCTAGTTTATGTCCGATTGGAAGCTACAGCATACATAGTCGTTAAGTGTCATCTTTGTTGATTCGTGTACAAGTTTATTCGTAATGTCGCACAGAAGTTTAACGATGAAGACACAAAAACACACCGTAATATCACTGAACACTGAAATAAATCTTTTTACATTACACAAAAAGAACTTGACTAAGTACCACTTTTATTTTGCTATAAAATTGCACTAATAAAACACAATATTAGGTTTTTGGAAAGAAAATCTTAAATCTTTCACAATTCTTTTTTGCTAACAAAATTTGATTGCCAGTTTCATGTTGCACCATATGCACCCTATCTTCTGGTCATTTTTAAAAAGATAGGAAGTTCAATTTGGCGGAAGTATGTTCATAAAAATTAAAATTAAGCTTCCTTAAAAACTCGATATCCTTAAAAAGTGTCCTGAAGATGAGGAGCATATTGTAAACCCTGAAACTAGTAGCCAAATTTTGCTAACAAAAAAAATTGTGGAAAGTTAGTCGTTCTTTCCAAAAACCTAATGAGGAACTGACATTTATCGATTTCAGTAAAACTAATTCTCCAGGCAAAAAACCATAAGTTATCTTTTTGTAAATCGAAAAACTGAAAACTATAATAAATGTAATAAAATGAAGCTGTGACATATTCGGGCATTCTTGCTTTGTCGAATTATTGTTGGTCACTTTTTGCCCATCTTCCGCTTTGTTGCATCACATTAGTTGGATTGATATGTAGTTTACCTAAATTAGGTAAATTTCAAAGGTCATTGACACTGAGATTCACAAACTAAGCACAGTGCTTTCTAAAATAGTAAAAAATTCTTTTTATCGAAAATGATTTTAAAAAATATTTTAAGTGTTATCAGATTAGTATTTTTATTTATTTTTTAATGTTTATTTTGTTAAACAGCAACATGATTTTGAATAAACAATTTTCGAAAAACAGTTCCAGATTAATGTTCTGGGAATCACCGACTGTTATTCTTAGTAACGCCCACTTAAAGAGTGACGCAAAAAACCTGTGATTTTCGCCCATTTTTCACAATTTGTAGAGAATTAAAAAAATACATAAAAATATGTTTTTGGTCGCAAATTACTTGTCGTAAAAAACTGAAATGAGCATAGCTTTTAGTATTTTGAAAATTTTGAAAATCACCCTTCTTAGGGGTTGGAAAAATGCCAAAAATGAAGAATTTGAATATTACAAATTGATATAAAAACTATTAGAATGTGAATTAATTATCTGATATATTTTTTTGAATTTTTACAGTTATTTCTGATATTCTCTATTTTTGGGGATGATTCCACCCCTGAGCACGCTTAAGGGTGGATTTTCTAATTCAACAAGCTTAATTTCAGTCATGAGAATAAATCTTTCTTTGTATCAATAATCATTCGATAGAAAAATTGACATGCTAATAGTTTTTATATTTATTGGTAATATTCAATTCTTCATTTTGGGCGTCTTTTTAACTCCTACCTAAATGCTGATTTTTGAAAAACTAAAAGCCATCTTCATAAACCGAATTTTTTTCCGTGTCTCTTGTGAAAATATGTTAGTTTATCATTAAGAGGCCCCTCAAAAAATCAGCTCAAAAAAAAAATTTTTAGAGGTCGCTCAAAATTTTTTAAAATTTCGAAAATCGTCAAGAATTGATTTTTAAAAAATTTTGTTTTTCGTTAATTTTTATTTTAATATTTTTCCCGTTATTTTATCATTTTCTAGGTTGAAAAAATCTCGATTCTGAAAATTTCAAATCGATATTTTAGTTTCTAAAGGTCACTCATAATTATTTTAACTTTAAAAGTAGTGTACCTAAAATGTTTTCGAGCGACCTCTAAAAATAAACATCAACGAACTAATAATTATTTTTATTGAATTTGATGAATAAAAGAATAGAAATAAGTCACGAGACACTTAAAATTTTCTCGAGGCAAAGTTTACTACCACACTGTGAGTATCAAATATTTATAATTTTTAAATTTTTTAAAATTTAAGTCTCGTGATTTATTTCTATTCTTTTGTTCATCAAATTCAATAAAAGAAAATTATGTTTGTTGATATTTATTTTATATCGAAATATCGATTTGAAATTTTCAAAATCGAGATTTTTTTCAACCTAGAAAATAATAAAATAACGAAAATAAAATTTTTTAAAAATAAATTTTTGACGATTTTGGAAATTTTTAAAAACCTTGAGCGACCTCTAAAAAATTTCTTTTGAGCTGATTTTTTGAGGGGGCTCTTAAAACATGATAAACTAACATATTTTCACAAGACACGAAAAAAAATTTTCGTTTGTTTTAGGCCACCCTACTGTATTTATTATTAACACAACAGCCAAGTATAGGAAAGACAAATAAACTTGTACAATATGTCTTTGAAATTCTATTCGTCTTACATGAAACTTTTCTTTTGTAAAAATCATTGACTTGCTTTTTATACGTTAAACTCAAAATAAATGATAAATCTAATACACTTCCTAGCTACATGGAACGTCTGTTTCTTAGGTCGTTCAGCTCAATCATTTTTAGATGGACTTTAATAACCAATACAATAACTTTTCACTTACTAATAAATACTTTTATAGGGTCTATTATCTACTATTTTAAAACTATCGAATAGCTTAAGTTTGTAAATAAGCTTTTGCATTCAGTACTGTCGAATATTGCATTTTTGTTTGTTATAAGGAGGCTATGGTAAAGCTAAACGGTCTACTAATTTTCTGTCTGTGTCGTCCTGTTATCATTTTCAGACAAGAACAAGCACTGTGGTGTGGGAAATTTGAATCCGGAATCCACCAAAATACTATGTTGTTACCAATTAAAGTATTACACTAATTAATATGTCAAGAATTATCCAACAGCTTAATATTGTAAATAAAAGTAATTCTGGTGTCTTAACTCGAACGATTATTTGCATACATTTTTTTGTGCTGCTACGTAACATGTCAGGCAGTTAATTTATTAGCGTAAGCGTTTTGCAAGGGAATTGTGCATGATCGGTGTTAGACACCAGGATTGTGTATGAGAGAACTTTCTACCATTAACTAACAATTGTTTTTCTAACACATTACTTTTACAGTTACTTCAACTTCTTCAATATCTTTTGCTATTCTCTAAAAACCAAGTAAGTTAAATTCGTATCTATCAATTATTAATACCCTTGTTTATATATTTATATAATGGGATGCTGAATAAGTTTTCATTGTTTTTTCTTGAAAATTAATGCTTTGTTTAAAAAAATCGGTAAAAAACATGTCACTGAAAACTGGAAGTATTGTCCGTCGCTAGCCACTACTTTTTCCCATCTTTCTGGTAGCATTTTCATTCCGTGTCGGAGAAACAACATGTCTTTTGAGGCTATCCAAGTGTTGACACATTTTTTAGCATCTTCTAAGACTGGAAGTGCCATTGATCAGAACAAGTGATAATCTGGTGAATATGGCGAATGTGGTAGGATTTCGCATTTAAGCGTTTCGACGGATATTGCAACATCTGGGCGAGCGTTGTCATGCTGCAAAATCACTTTGTCATGTCTCTACTTATATAACGACTGTTTTTCTTTCAATAGTCGGCTCAAACATATCAGTTGTAGTGGATAACGGTCTTCCATGATATCCCAGTAAATGAAATTTGTACACATGTAATCAAAAGGTAATTCGTTTCAGATTGAAACTTGATTTAATAGTTAGTTTAGGCAAAAATAAATAATATCTCCTAAAAGGTATCGGTTTAAAACAACAAGATCATTGTTTAAACAATGATTATAATGTAAAAAATAACAAAAACATTTAGCTGTATTAAAAAGCGTTCTCCAACGAGTTTTTGCTTTTGTTTATACTTAAAGGTTTTCAAAAAATGCTTCATTTGAGACCTGCTGAATTAAAATCCATTAACAATTTGTTTAAATAATTGCAAAAAACCAGCAAAATTTGAATTTGCTATAAATAGAAGAAAAAAGCATAAATTGTCTATAAACTGCAGTAAAAGTTGTATTTTGTTATGCTTAAGAAACCCTGAAAATTTGGTAGAAAAATATTTATTTGTTTACGAGTTTTTGCAGTTGTTACAAACAGCATTTTTTTAATTGCAAAAATAAAGCGCCTTATGAGGGCTCATTTGTTTCATCTTGACTTATATTTTCAAGATATGCAATTGGAAATTGTAATTTCATAGGCTAACCTCCTCAAAACGGCGTATAAACAAATAGTGTAATTTGTTTATAAGGTTTTTCGTTGATAACTGCGAAGAATGAATATTTTTTAAAGTCGCTTTGATATTCGTAATCCTGAAAATTTTTTACGAATTAAAAAAAAATTTAGAACCATTTTTAGCCGAGATAGCGTTTTTTTTTTAAATTCATAACTTGTTTATTTATAAACATTAAGACTTGAAATTTCGGGAATAAATCAATTAACCCTTAAACTTCATAATAACGATTAAAGATATCGAAAAAATGAATTTTATAGCAATTTTTAACCCTTTAAAAAACTTCTAATACATTTTTACACCTTGAATGTGGTTCAGAAACGTTCCAAGACTTCAAATCTTAACTGCCCAAAAATTTTGCGATATCCGGTAATTGTGGACCAATTTTAACATTTTTTTTTTAATCTGGGGTAGCGTATGAATATAATAACAACTGCATGGTCCATTTTGCAATAATTAATTATTAATTTGTTATTAATAAACTATTAATTCTGTTAAACAATTTTTTTTTCGCATTTTTTTGAGAAATAATTTTTCACAATGGTACCAATAAGCAATTTTCTTAAAAAACAATATTTTTATGTAAAAAAATTCAGGAAATGACATTTTTTATGTATAAAGTTTATTGGAGAACGCTTTTAAATACAGCTAAAAAACTAAATTTTTGGTAATTTTTACATTATAATCATTGTTTAAACAAAGATCTTGTTGTTTTAAATCGATACTTTTTGGGAAATATTATTTCTTTTTGCCTAAACCAACAATTAAACCAAGTTTGAATCTGAAACGAATTTTTTTACAAATTTTTTTTCATTTACTGGGCTATGATGGTTTTATTCGGTTTGAGCAGCTCATAATAAACTACATCCAGCTGATCCTACCAAATGCAGAGCAGAATCTTGGAATCATGGATATCTACTTTGCTGACAATGTTGACGCATAACCGGACTTGCCCCAGGATTTTCTATGCTTAGGACTATCGTAACGCATCTTATTAATCGTCAGTTCAAATATAGTGCTAACAAACTTTCCTTTTCTGCCGTTGAAGCAGCTGTTCACACGTAAAATGATGCTGTTCAACATCTCTCGGTTTCAACTCGTGCGGCACACATATCCTTGCTTTTAAATTCGTTCTTCATGAACTAATGCCTTCATCTTCAAACTGTTTTGGTTCAACATCAAAATCATTATTTTTAAAGCGTCTAAACCAATCTTTGCATATTGTTTGCGACCGAGTATGGTCGCCGTAAGCCTTAACAAGAATTCTGTGTGCTTCAACTGCAGATTTCTTTTGAATAAAGTAATGCAGCAAAATTCCCTGCAAATCCTCTTTTTTTGGCATGAAATTCGACATGTTTAACACTATATAGGTGTCTTACCATCTTAAACTACATGCTTGCAGTTCTGGTAAGGCCCTCTGTTGGAAAACAGCGAGAACTTATTCAACGTTCCTGTACTCGCACAACCGGTCAACCTTAAGAATAAGAATATTAGATGTCGAAACTTTCAAAAGAGTCCTGTCGTTCTTGTTCATAGTGTAGATAAAGGAGACAGGTTTTTTTTTGCAAGAGAAGCCGTCTAGTACTGACCCCTAAGTTTTAACTATAAATATTATAACCAAGGTTAATACATATAATTTTATGAAATATGTATAGATTTAACTATTATATAGTTTAATTAGAAAGAGAAAAGACTGTGTCTAAACTAAAAAAGATGCAAATGTTTGTTTCAAAATATAAATATTTGTCTTTGTTTATGATATCATTACCTATGTTATCGTTCTAATTCCTTGATAACTCAAGGATAGTGTTGTAATGTTCAGTTAAACTTTTTTGCGACTTAAATAAACATGTGTTATCTTTGTATCTATTCTTATAAATAAAGGATTTACAAACACAGCCCAAATATTATTTAGCTGTGATAATAGAATGACGATAATGATCTACAGCTAATCCATAGCCCTTTATAACAATTAAAAAAATATATTTAGGTATTATGATATATTCTTGTGGAGTGTAAGGTGGGGTTATTATTTTTTTTTAATAAAGCATTACATATGCATAGGACTTTTATTTTGACCTGAGAAAATAAAGCAGTGACAGCCAAAGGTAAAATAATTATACATTCAAATGAACTAATTAATTATTAACAAGGTACGATTCAAATTATCGTCTTATTTTGAACTTTGTATCAATCCATTGCTGCCAACAAAAAGTCATTGGAAGTTGAGCATATAAAACGTAAACAGAATATTATGTTAATTATAATCATCAATGAGAAAGTCGTGCGCAATCCTTACCACTCCACAATTTTTTATGCCTAATAAAAGTGAAAATCTTAAGGTATATACTTAAAACGTTAATAATTTATATTAAGAAGTACATGCTTTCTGCGGTTTGATTAGAAACTGAGTGAAATGTGTTGCTCTGTTGCAGAGTCTGGTGGGAAAAATTGAACGGATGGGAATCAGTAACCTGATGGCCAATCCGGGCGGTCTCTCCATTTCCGCTGGTCTCTACGCTAGGCCGGCTTTAACTAGTCCAATGGCACAGCTAACTTGCCTTTTACCTAGTCACAGTAGCGAAAATATCACACATATAGGTCAAAAGGTGCCTCCAAGTACAACTCCTGTTACACAAGGTAAGGTGGTTTTTGTTTATTTATTTTTTTATTTCCTGAAAATAATTCCATAGTGTTCCTCACAGTCGTTTTACCAAAATCAGTTTTTTTTTTGTTTTTCACGAAAATCCATTACAATATTGGATCACACACACCGCGTGATAGGGTAAATTAGAGTCCTTTTTTTAATTCAGTACTTATAAACATTTGTTTTCCTTTCGTACTAGTTTCACTATTATTCCATCATCAGGGACTTAGAAGAATCTGAGGTATCTAAAGAAACCTTCAGCATATAAACAAACAAATATTTTCAAGTTATGTGTAAACAACAAAGTTAAACAACTACATACTTTGAAATCAATATAGTTATACTTACAATGACAGTCATTGGAAAAAAATTGGCTGCATAAAACTTTTAATAAATGACAATTTTTGTGTAAAAATGAAAATATTAAATGTTCTTTCATATTATCATAACAAATTGAGCACAAACAATAAGTGTTTGTGATATTCTACATTTCAGTAAACAGATTAATCTGAGATAGAGGGGCATGCCTGAGTAAAATTAAAAGTAGTGGGGAATTCAATCAGGAATTTTTAAGTTTCTTTGTAATATTCAATCTAAAACGGTGTAGTTATAATAAACTTCAGTTTTTTTTGTTCCATCATATACAATACATATAGGCAAAATTATAAAGAAAAATTTGAATAAAAAAAATGTTTTTGTACACATTCAAATTGTTATGTTGGGGAAATATACAACTCACATAATAAAAACGTTTAAACAATTTTTAAAAAATCCTATTTTATCTGAGTTTTTTACTTATATCTTGGAACCAATGCATTTTGGAAGAATATTGAAGAGGAAAAAAGTTTTAGAATTGAATTTTGACCAATATACTGCAAGTAAAAAATCTTTAAATTCATTAATGATGTTGCAAAATAGCAATAATTGATGAAAAAAAGGCAAAACAATCAAGTGTTTTGGATAATTTTTTAAAAATACTTTAATTGCTCCGAGGGCATTCTAATTTTGGTAAAAAAAACTTTAAAATATAATAAAAGAACACATCAAATTTCATTAAAATTGGTTCCATAGGTTTCATAAAATAATTTTTTGAAAAAAATTTTAAATAACAGTTTTCGAATTTTCAAAAAGTTGCACAGCCTCAAATAAAGCATCTATACTTGAAAATTTTTTCCCAGAAAAATTTTGAAAAATTGAAATCGGTTGATTATGACGGCCACAGTAAATTTTTAAAGTTAACACTAATTTTGCACAATATACTGCAAGTCAAAAATGTTTAAATTTATTGCCAAAGTTGTAAAATAACAATAATTGATGAAAAAATGCAAGCTTCTTTAAAAAAAAAAAGTGAAATTCCGTTTATAGGTTCTCGAGATATAAGCGGTCAAAGTTTATTGGCATTTACCGTTAATTTATAAACAATTTAGCAATAATCTTCGATCCAGTGTCTTCGTTGTTTCGATTTCTATGCTGGAAAAAATTTTCATATCCATAAGGTATCGGCAACATAGATAAATCAGGGAAAAAGCTGTCGCTCGCACGCGCGGAAAGTGACTCAAATCGCGAAAAGTAGGGAAGGGGGCTTTCACTCCGAGACTGAATTTGGAGGTTCAAAATGCGAAGGTACGAAAAAATTTCTCTATCTCGGCTTCTAATGGACCAATTTTGATCTTTTTTTTTTTAATCCGATGTCTCGCAAGCCAAGGAATTGGAATATCGTAATGCCAACTGTCTAATTTGCACATATTTTGTTAGAAACAACGTTTATTATTTATGCATTAAATATACTGTATATTTTATCCTATGCTATTGCATTTTTTCAATGAACAAATTTGTTTACATATATATTTC